TCTGTCCTTTGCCAAACCACGAGGGGAGATATTCAGTAACACATTGTCTAAGCTGTGTAGTAGTACACTTTGCATATCTGTCTCCGTTACAGCAGTTGAACTGACAAATACATACAGATATGGCAATACTGTCTAGCTTGTCTTTCGTTTTAGTCCCAGTCAGTCGCTGACTGTAGTTTCTTTACGTAAAACGTTCTAGAACAAAATCTCCCCTAACAGGTCTCCGTAAAATTTACAAATAGCTCAGTGGAACCGTCTCTAGCCACAGTGCTCACTTGGTGACGCGGATTCGAATCTCAGAAGGGAGATGAATTCGTTCAAGGTTATAGATACACCTTGTCGACTGGTGAGTGCCAACTAGCACGAAACCTAGGTGCAGCCAAGACTTCCTACCGATTGCCACCAACTATCTAATTTCATCAAATCAATGTTCATAGTGATGGCGAGCTACCTAGAATGGTGGCCATATTGCAAATCTGACTGATAGAATTCAGTCTACAGACACATCACAATGGTTACTAGTGTCCAATCAAAGTAGTTGATTGTCCATTTGACAAGTCTGAAGAGAGTGAGAAAATGTACAAAAGGAACATATGACAGAGACTCAGGTTTTGCCTTTTGTTTATGGCGGAGGCGTTGGCAATTCGTCAATGCAACCCCGAACTCTGAATACAGAAAAGTTTGTCCAGTCTCTTATTCTTCCATGGTCATAACCTCTTCATTAGTCGTTCCTTGGAAATTTTTATTTTTAATTTTACTTTTAGTTTGCTTTTACTTTAATAATTAACTCACTATTATCACCCTAATATGTTCTTTTTGTACATTTTCTCACCCTCCTCACATTTGTTAAATTGACACTCCACTACTTTAATTCTCACTCAATAGCAATTTTAACCTTATCAAATTGCTAACCCTTTTCAGGTATTGGTTTGTAGGGTACAGGATTTCATCATGAGCTGACATCAGTTAGAGAACCAGTGGAAGACTTGGGAGTAGGGGACAGTTGTTTCACCCCCGTTTGGGACTCTTCATGAGTACGCACCCACCCTTTTTCCTTTGTGCCGTTGAGTACTACGTAATCTGCAACTTTTATTCTCTACTTCTAAATCCACTTCTGAGTAATTATATCAATTATGTCACTATTACTCAATAATAGACTACTATCCATTTTTGGTAAATATGAATACGACTGTGGAGCCTGTGAAGATGATTTCTTCGATAAAAAAATTTTCTTCGCTGAATTGTCCTTTATCTTCTTCACGACAAAAATAGTACTAAGGCCATGGTATTAAAAGAGTCTGGATAAAACATTTCTGTACACAAAGTTCAGGTTTCTTCCTAAGGACTGTTAAGGATTCAACTATATGGAAAATATGTAGGTGATTTCCTTTTGAACGACTTGTTAGTACACTGTATGTGACTCTGAAAGATGTCTCTGCTGATGCTGTGTGTCCAGGAATAACAATGTGCTCCAGAGTTGAGCTGCTGACAGTTCTACATTCTCCTTTTTTCAGTGTCCTTGGGCACGTTTAGACAATTTCCTGGTGGGACAGACTATGTGGCACCCTCTTAACAGAAGAAGCAGATATCCTTAGAAGGTGGACAGAATACTGTAAGGGACTCTACAATCATAAAATAAGCCCTAATTATAGCCTAATAAACAATTCATGCTGGGACAATAGGGAGATCGGTGATTCACCCATACTAGAGTCAGAAGTAGAGGAAGCAATAAAATCACTTAAGGGAGATAAATCACAAGGAATTGACAACATACCGGCAGAACTAATTAAACATGGTGGACCACAAACAGTTAAATGGCTGAAAGCAGCCTGTCAAAAAATCTGGCAAGAAAAAGAATGGCCTAAAGAATGGACTCAGTCACTAATCATTCCAATATTTAAGAAAGGGGACGCAAAGCAGTGCGAGAACTACAGAACAATAAGTTTAATCAGCCACCCAAGTAAAGTCATGCTGAAAGTAATATTGAACAGACTCAAAAAGAAAGTAGAGGAAATACTCTCAGAAGAACAGGCCGGATTCAGGCCGGGCAGAAGCACTGCTGAACAAATTTTTAACATAAGGGTACTAAACGAAAAATGTCTACAACACCAAAAAATGCTAGTACACAACTTTATCGATTTTAAGAAGGCCTTTGACCGTGTGTGGCACGAAGGCTTATGGCAAGTCATGAATAACTACAATATAGATAAAAACATAATTGAGGTTATTAAGTCTTTATATAACAAATCTAGTAGTGCAGTATCTCTAAATAATCAAACTGGCGAGTTCTTCAGAACAACTATAGGAGTACGCCAAGGGTGCATTCTCTCACCAGTCCCCTTTAATTTATTCCTCGAACATATTATGACACAAACCCTACATGACTTTACACCGACACTTAGCATAAACGGAAGACCAATTTCCAACCTCAGATTTGCTGATGATATAGCCCTCATTGGGGAAAACATTGATCAAGTTCAGGACCTCACCTCAAGACTTGATGTTGCAACCAAATCTGTGGGCATGGAAATCAGCACAAAAAAAAGCAAAATACTCATTAACGGAGGAAACAACTCAGATAGATGTATCAGACTTGATGGACATGTATTAGAAGAGGTTGAAACTTTCAAATACCTTGGGTCTACCCTAACGAAAGATGGAAGGTCCACTAAGGAAATAAAAATTCGACTAAACCTAGCCTCTGCCACCATGTCCAAGTTAGGGAAAATATGGAAGAGCAACATCAGCGTCTCAGCAAAAATGAAGCTCTACTCGTCACTGGTCCTCTCTGTATTCCTATATGGATGTGAGAGCTGGACCCTGAATGCAGAGACAGAAAGAAGAATACAAGCCTTCGAAAACAAAAGCTATAGAAGGATCCTAGGAATAAGTTACCTTGAAAGGAAAACTAATGAATATGTCTTACACCAGGTCCATAGACTGGCAGGAAAACAGGAACCACTCCTTTCAATCGTGAAGAAACGGAAACTACAATGGTTCGGCCACACGGTAAGACATGACACATTGTCCAAAACGATTCTACAAGGCACAGTAGGAGGAGCACGAAAGAGAGGTCGACCGAATAAGAGCTGGTTTGACAACATAAAAGAGTGGACTGAAATGCCCTTGGATACGCTACAGAAAATAGCATTAAACCGAGAAGAATGGCGAAGACTGATAGCGCGAACTGTCATAGCACCCCCACGACGAAAGTCAAGGGACTGATGATGATGATGACAGACTATGTACTCAGCTCTACAAATTCAGGTGAATTGGTAAATACACAATGAAGTTGGCAACAGCCAGGACGTGTCTTTGACGTTTTGGGGAATAAGAGCTAGTGTGGAGATGGTGAAGCGTAGAGATGCGCCAGATAACGTTCAAGGAACTGTCCTCGGCAGGCGACTTCGGAGGACCTCACTAACTGTATCTCCCTTGAATTTAAGATTTAAAATTATCTGTTTCCTTGGCACTTCCAGGTTCCAATGACTATCGGTCTTTCCCTTTAGATGTTTATTGATGAAGGAGGTCGGATATAAAAACCTTTCAAATCGTGGGAAATACCCAGCGGGATATTAGGGGGAAAAGAAGAAGTTCAGCAAAGATGACGATCTTTCCGGCGATTTCATTCTCAAAAGCAGCTGTACAATCGCATTTATATACAACATTAGTTTACATGGATACAATTATTATTTATTTAATTTCACATAGTAACGAAGGTGATAATAATTTTCAACTTGATATGAAAGTGCCAAGGTACGAATGTAAATTACACGGGGCTTAGAGATAAGATTGCATAGGATTTGAAAACAGTTACAACGTATGCAAAATTAATATTTGATAACTGGAGAAATAATAATTTTAAAGGCGAATAAAAGGCGATAATTATTTTCAACTTTATATGAATTACAAGAGGCTTAGAAACAAAAATTATGCAGGGATAGAACGAAATGAGCATGGAAACAAACTTAAAATAACTGATTTTATAATTGAAGAAATGGGATGAATCGAATGAAGACAAAGAGAGAAAATTACATACACACAGAACAAAACAAAAAACTAAAGGATAGAGGAACATACCGAACTAGGTCCACTGTAGTTGTAAAGGCTGAACTAGTTTCTCTTGAACACATAGCTCCGGCTTTTCGATGCATATGGCGAGAGCTTCCGCAGTACAAAGATGTCGGAAACACACTGCCTTTGGTAGATTTTTGTTTACTTTGTAAATGACTATGAATGATGAGTCAGTTGAGATGCTATGGCAGGCACTGACGAGGAGTTCAGTTATGGCGCTTCTCGTTAACCAGTGCCTCCTCTTTACAGCCATGCTGGATGATGTTCTCTAACACGCTTTGATAAGACTCGCATAGAACGACCTATGTACCTAGCTCCGCAAGAGCTCTTCATAATTTCAAGTGTAAATGCTTATCTAATAACTCGTCACTGGTTTTTCTCAATGCAGTGAGGAAGTTACACATACCAAATAACAGGGAGCAACTTCTATTTATCTTCCGAAAAACTGACAGTTTAGCTCATTAGTACGATATGAAACTGAGTAGTGGGGTAAAAGTTCCAATTTCCGATTGCAATCAATTAATTATCACCAAAATGAAGACATTTTATATTGTACATATAAGAATGTTCTGGAATTTAAGGATAATTCACGCATAAGTGTAGGCAGCTACACAGTCACCTGCAGACTTGTTCAACCCAAATGAAAGAAGTCATTGACACGAAGATATTAGGAATTAGTAAGGGAGGAGGTCAATGCAGTTTGAACGACAGAGCACAGTATTATCGAGAAGAAACTAATGTTCCTTAAATTAGGATTTAAAAGTGATGAGATTGGAGGAGAAATTACTAGATGAATAAGTGACGCAACATCAAGGGAGTATTCAGCCGCCAAGCTGGTCCTCTTACATAAAACAGCTTGTTAGATTACAAAACCTAAACCAGACCTTATTCCAGCCCTCGTTAACTCCATCTGTGTTTATGAATCCATGTGTACGTACGGTAGAAAGTACGTAGAACTAACAGAGAGATGGCTGTCTACAAGCATCGTTGAACATGTATCCAAGAGTTTATGTCGTAGAGGTTCGGCATCATTTAACGGCGTCATACCACGGAACCTGCCTTACACAGGACTCCAAATCTACATAGTAGAATCTTTTAAGATGGTGAAAAGACAAAGTACTTCACGACCTGTTCGAATTATTAAAGCTGTGATGATAAAAGACGAAAAACTTAGTAAAGGAATGTTTATTTGCAATTTGGCATATATATATATATATATATATATTTAGCCAATTATGTGAACATTATCTTCAACGCACCATTTGCACACATCTTCCATTTTGTGCTACTTCTGGCCTTCATTATTGTAATATTGTTTCCTTTAATTCCAAGGGGAACATAGAGCTTCAGCCAAATGTCTCCATTGCGTTCGATTCTCTGTCGACGTTTTCACCTGGCTCCACGTCTGCTCACATACTTTCATCT